TTAAACCAAACCCTCGCAAGACTAACTCATATTCTCTTTTGATGAACTTTCTGAAACTCTTCTGATAAGAATATTTCTCATAAAATCTTCCAAGGACAAGAAATTGTAAAAGAGATTTATTTTTTATTTTCAATGTAGTATTAATTGAGCTATATTTTAATATTATGTGCATATTTGGAGAAGAAAGTGGAATCATTGGTATAAGTTCTATTGACTCAAAATCCACTTGAAGATAATATTCAGATTCCATGGTCAAATTTGAATATTTGCTCGAAGCCTGGCAAAGAAAAACTAAAAAAAAGGTATGTTCTATTCTTCACTTTGGTAACTTTTTTAATCAATGAATTATGTATGTATAAGTGAATACAAAGTCTCTGATAGATCTCCAGAGAAATTCTTTTTGCTGAAAACAAAAGAATCTTCAAAAATCATTAAAAAGAAACTATGTCGTACTTAACTATACAAAATAAGTCATTAACTAGAAGATGGTCATCTCTATGGAAACAATGTTCTCACCTTTTGTAATAATACTGCTGCTAGTCAGTAGTCAAATAAACCAACTTAACATTCATGAATCAATCACATATATCTAGAAAACTAATCTCCAATTTTAAAGGGGAAATACTTAACTTTGAATGGAATATCAAAGACTGAAAATTAACAGTAGATGTCTCACTCAAAGTCTAATCCTACTAGACTCTGATGACAGATAGCTTCTGAAAATTTTCAGTCTCTGAGATTCAGAAAATGAATCTTTACTTTTGATAAGCAGTTTAAGTAAAATAAAAATTTATTTTAAAATCCTTGTGTTACTTAAATTCTATAAAGTTGAAAATCATCTAGTGTGTTCAAAGGTTTGTTGAGTAAGAACCTTTAGGTAATGATGTTTTCTCGTTTTATATATCTATTGTCTCTATCCCTTGTCTTTGTGAAACATCCTTTCTTGTTACCTTTTATGTTCCTCTGACAAGATTCTCATTCCTCTGTGATCAGAACCTGTTCAGATCTTTTCTTTATATTTGTTTTTGTTTTGTGTGTTGATCAAACCAAATCTGAGATGAATTCTCTAGTCAATTCTTCACCGAATTAACTAGTTTTCATCAATAAAAAGTTTGTGGATTTTGAATAGTTGTTTAAGCTAGGTTTTAATTTCTGGAAGAGTTTTCTGAACAAGGATGGAATGGATACTTTGATATGCTTTATAGTTTAAATTTTCCAAATCTTGTCAAAGAGTTTTGGTTTAATGCATCCATGGTTGAGCTAAAATTTGAGTATGCTATCCTTTCCAAAGTTACTGGTATTTCTATAACAGTAACCTTTAAGTCAATTGCTAATGTTATTAACTGTGAGGAAATTGAAGAAATTCCAGGTGCTCTTGTTTGGGAATATTATCTTCCTACTTGGTGTACTTTTGTAGATCCATTAAACATTTTCTTAAGTCTCAAATCTTCGTCCTGATGCAATTGTTTGGAACCATATTCTGAACTCGAACTTGCTACCTAAGTACATGGATTTATACCTGGTGGAATCCATTGAAAAGATTTTCTACTTCTCAATTCAGACATGCAGATTTATCTTCCTCAAGTTATGTCTGACCATCTGAAAAGGACTTTTTCATCCTTTCACAAGGAGAAAACCTTCTTCATTTCTTATGGACGAGTTCTTTCTGAACTATTAATCCAACAAGGATTTTTCATAACATCATAGGATGATTCTTCTAAAATCTGGAGAGATAAGCTTGAAGTTGTCTATGAGAGGTTCTAAAGTTGGTCATCTGCAATTATACGCCTTGTAATTGTTATCAGCTTGTATTAAACAATCTCTTTATTTCAATAAAAATTGTTTATATTCTTGTGTGGTCTTAACTGTTATGTGCATTTCTTATGCTGTTCAGAAAATAAAAAATTTGGATTAAAACTCTAAAAAATAGAAACATTCTCATTGAAAGATTGTAAATGATTACTTTTTTCAAAAGAACTTCTAGACATTTGGATCTGTTCTAAGGAATTCCCTAGGCTCATCTGATATATCTAGATTATTCAAATAATCCCCCCAACCTTCCTTTGCAAACTTAACAACCTCCCTCCTCTGAAGATTTCTGCATTGTGACTTAGAAGTTCTTCTTCTATGCGTCTCAACAAAGGATGTTGTTGTTGATTGTGCCTCTGAAGATATATGCTTGCTTGAAGACTCTTCAGTTGCTACTTTCTTCTCGTTTTCTTGAGTTGTTATTTTAGCAATGTTGTCTTTCTAAAGTCTCTCTTTGGAACCCATATTTGTTTCTTCTTATACATCTTTGTGTTCTAAAGATTAACTAATTTAGATAAGAAGTCTGCTAAACATTTTATAGAGCCTATTCATCGGTTACCTTGGAGTCTTTATTATTTTAATATTAATTAGTTTAATCAATCATTTAACTTTTGATTTTTGGGAAGTGATATCTAGTGTCCCCGAAAAAGATTCTCTTGAATAACTGTAAAGGTTATTTAACAGCTATTTACTATATGTTGTTTTATTTTATGTACCTTCTTACTTCATTCTTGCATATGTCAGAAAATCAAATGAAAGTAAAAGGAATATACTGCAAACTAATATTGGACAAAATATTTTTTTCATTGATCATAAAAGGGAGATTACAAAATAAGATGAAGACATTAAGATTAATTAATCTAATTCTTCTAAAGCCCTAAGACTCGTATGATTTTCCCATGTGTAGTTTGGCTCATCCTCATTTTCACAGTCGGAGATAACAATCTGAAATGTCATCCTGTCTCTAGACCTCTTCTTCTTCTTCATTGATTTCTCATTAGGCCTCAGAGCAGTTGTTGATGAACCTGCTTCAGAAGGTTTCATTACAAATGATGATGAACTTGCCTCAGAAGGTTTTAGTATTGTGGACGAAGAACCAGTTTCAGATGTTTCAAAACCTGCTTGTTTATGTGGACCTTACGTCTCCAGAATTGTAGAATCCTCTGAAATCTCAATTATGGTTGAGATGTTGGTAATTTCAGATGTTAGTCTGAAGGATGTTAATAAAAAAGACTTACGATTTGGATGCTTTTATAGTAGATTGTGGGTAACCCAAACTATGGAATAAAATCCTTTTCTTGATCTTGAAAGTGTTACGACCAATAGTCTTCAGTTTGATCTTAAGTTATTGCATGGAATTAACATCTAGGAGAAAGGTTGACGAGGATTCCAAAGGAAGGAGCATGGAGAGCCAAACAAGTGTTGGAACTTGTACACACAGATGTGTGTGGCCTTATGAATACTTTGTCTTATGACAAAAACATGTATTTTATCTTGTTTATTAATGATTTTACCTGCATGACATGAGTATATTTTATGAGACAAAAATCTGATTTTTTTGTAATTTTAAAGAAGTTTAAAGCTTTTGTTGAGAAATAAAGTGGTATGTTTATAAAAATGTTGAGAAGTGACAGGGGGAAAGAGTACACCTCAAATCAATTTTACAAATTTTGTGAAGATGAAGGTGTTGAAAAACAACACACTGTTGGCTATAAACCTCAGCAAAATGGTGTATCTAAAAGAAAGAACCAAACAGTGATGGAGATGGTGAAGTCTATGCTACTTGAGAAAGGTTTGCCTAAAACCTTTTGGCCTGAGGCTGTTAATATTGCTGTGTATTTGCTGAATAGATGTCCAACAAAGGTTGTATGAAATAAGACTCCATTTGAAGCTTTCAGTAGAAGAACTCCTTTAGTTAACCACCTTAAAGTTTTTGGGTGTGTTTGCTATGCTCAAATTCCTAAACAAAAGAGAACAAAGTTGGAAGAAACAAGCGAAAGATGTCTCTTTATTGGCTATAGTTTCATGTCAATGGGCTATAGACTTTGCAACTTGAAGACAAAAAAGGTGATCATTAGCCGGGATGTTGTATTTGATGAGAAGGCTTCTTGGAATTGGGAAGAAGACAAAATGAAGGAGAAAACAATCCTTGCAATTTTATTACAACAAAATTCAGTAGCTGAAAATGAGCAACCAACCTCATGTACACCAAGCTCTTCATCCTCTCTAAGTCCATCAATTTCAAGTTCATCATCTTCAGCTCAACTCCAATAAAATTGAAGGATTTGAGTGACATTTATGCAAGGTGTAACTATTGTGTTGTGGAACCAGAAAATTTTGATGAAACAATCAAAGAAGATGTTTGGATGAATGCGATGCAAGAAGAAATAAATGCAATTGAGAAGAACAACACATGGCAGCTAGTTGAAAAGTCAAATAACAAAGAAGCAATGAGAGTTAAAGAACAACACATTAAGGGAGAGTTGTAAAAATCAATGTGTTGTAACCACCACTATCTTTAGTAAGCATTTGAGAGAATTGGAATCACCACATTATAATTATTGTTTTTACTTAGATTTATGATAGAGTTGTATCATTAAGTTCGAGAGAATCAAAGAGTCATCATCTTGATTACTAACTTATTGTATTCTCTATCTATATAAAGGCTTTGTAATGTTAAGTTGTATGTAAGCAAAAAAAAAAAAAAAAAAAAAGAGTATGTGGTGAATTCAATAAAATCGGAATATTTTAAAGTATAACTTCCACCAATAAAAGTTGAGTGAAAAAATGACCGAAAATATTTTTTTACTCTAAATTCTACAACAATATATTTTATCACATATCACCTTTAAAATTCCTCCAAGAGAACACTGCTGCTACAACAAGTTCTACCACTAACAACTATATTAACTAAAATAAAAGTAACATCACATCCCTAAAACCAAAAAAAGTGTGCCTCAATTCGAGTATCACGAGGCTACATATTATATAGTATGCTGTCGTTGACCCAGATAAGCGTAGAGCATATCCAAATGCAGAGATCACATGGCTACTATACGTTATAAAATATACATGCGCATCACGGGCTATTTCAATATTATCAGCATATAGTACTTCCCTAATCTATTATATAACTATCAACAAAACTTATCAATTTTCACTTAAAATTAATCAAGGGAAACTAAGAAGATATGGACTCAGAAACCTCTCAAAAGCTTCCAGCTATTGACTTCACCAACATCAACTTATCCAATAGGGAGTTCCTTAAATCCCAAGTCTACGAAGCACTAGTAGAATACGGTTGTTTTGAAGCCACTTTTGATCAAATACCTTTAGACCTTTGCAAAGCCATGCTTGGTGCAATACAAGAGTTATTTGATCTTCCTCTAGAGATTAAAACACTCGATGCGTGTAAGATGAATCATCAAGGTTATGTTGGTCAATCTCCTGTAATACCACTTTTTGAAAGCATTGGTATTGACTATGCAAATATTTTTGAGAGAGTAAAAACCATAACCGACATCTGGTGGCCTCAAGGAAACCCTAGTTTTAGGTACTTTCCATGCATTTATAATTAACATTTTATATTTTTAGCCTTTTATTTTGATTTATTTTTGCAGCAAAACTATAAATTCCTTCACTGTGAAGCTAGTAGAGTTGGATGAAATGATTAGGAAGATGGTTTTGGAAAGTTTGGGTGTTGAAAAGTACATGCAAGAGCACATGAACTCAACTGAGTATCTTCTCCGAGTTATGAAATATAAAAGTCCACAAACCAGTGAGAAAAAACTAGGCCTACTGACACACACAGATCAGACCCTTGTGACCATATTGTACCAAAATCAAGTGGGGGGTTTAGAAGTAATGACAAAAGATGAGAAATGGATAAGCTACGAGCCTTCTTCTCCACATAGCTTCCTGGTTATAGTTGGTGATTCATTTAATGTAAATTTTCGAATCTTGATGTCGTAGATCAAACTGAGGTTATAAAGATTTAACTTTTGTTAATATTGTTGTGCTATCATTTTGCAGGCATGGTCAAACGGGAGGTTGGATTCACCGTTCCATCGAGTGATGATGAGGGGAAGTGAGACAAGATATTCTTTAGGGTTGTTCACTCTCCCAAAAAAAGGTTGTATTGTTAATGCTCCAGATGAGATGGTGGACGAGGAACACCCTTTGCTTTTTAAGCCTTTTGATTTTGCTGAGTTCCTCGACTATCGTTATTCTGAAAAAGGTCTTAGAGATCCATTTTCTCTACGCACTTACTGTGGTGTTTGACCTTATAACTTACATTAGATTTGAAGTCATTGCGTTTGTAGCGTGATTTTGTCGTGTTGTCTTCAATTATTTATATCATCATTTTCCATTTTATATATAAATCGACTCTCTTTAAGTTTGTTGGAAAATGAATATACACCATAAATAAAATTTTTTAGAAGTGTGACATATTTGATAGAGCCTACTTTCTTTTGAATGTTAAAGTATAGTACTTTAAAAGTCAACGCTGTTTTTTTTTTGTCTTTTTTTCAATTTGGTGGTTTTTTTTTTTTGACATTTTGTTTTCTTACATCTGAAAAGTTAGTGTATTATGAATTAAAAAACACTGAAGAGTGCTCACAATTCTCATAAAAATGGGCATATGTGAAAGTCTATCAGTATTAGCGCGAATACTTGAAGGGAAAGTCTTCTTTAATCCTTTCATTTTATCTCTTTCGATGTCATTGTAGTTGTTGTTCCTTTTGGATTTTTTGCGTTATGCAAAACAACATGGAGTCAGTTCAAGTTGTCTCTGGTGCATAAGGGACACATATGGAACACGATGTTCCAATATGTGTGCTGCAACATCTAGTCTTTAACAATAGACAGATGATATACAATTTTGGTTCAGAATTATCTAATCCAAGATTCGCTATACAAAGAAGATTTATATTTTATGAAGAAAAGTTAATCTGGATGCCCTGGTGCAACATGTGGAACACGGTGTTCCAGTATGTGTGCAATACAACATCTAGCCCTAGTCAGCATGCCATGATGGATGTTGTTAGGTGCGAAATTTATGATAAGGTTCAATCAAATTTGTGTAGATTGTTTAGCAATGTTTGTTTGATTTGTTTGACAATTGTTGAAGATCAAATCAAATTTAAATTTGAATTCATAATATAGCAAATCATATCTTTTGTTGGAGAGATTTATGGAGCAAATCAAATCCAACTAATTCAACTATTATTCTGGACAAATTTAACTTAGATATTCAAGGAAAAAAAGTCCATAATACATTGTTATATAATGAGACTCAATTATCATGTTTGTCAAGAGTTTTGTGCGCAAGATTAAGTTCTTAGTGTCTAGGGTTTTTGAGTCTTTTGTTTCTTATTTTCCATGCTAATGTTATCATTCATATCATAAGGATTAGTGTTGGATCTATTTTGTGTACATTACACTATGTTTCAGTAACTTTGCATAGTTGTTAGTTTCTGTTAATTGAGTTATAAATTCAACAATCAATAGAGTTGTTATTGAAGTTCATCACTAGGAGTTAGTGATTAAGAGACAGTGAGAGAGCTCTCATATTTAAGGGGGGTCTTAAATAGAAAGTCACAAGAATTAGGAAGAGACATTGAATATCATGGGATTTGTTCCTATAAAACTAATTGTATTAATTTGAAGTAGTGAATTTTCTTTCTTGGGTAGAGTTCCCTCCAAACGTAAGAGTTGTTATATTGATGTCTTACTAGTTTAAACAAGTTGGACCAGTTGTCCCAATATGTCCCTTGTAACACCTTGTTTTTCCTAATTTATTTAATTAATTGAAATTGTGTTATTTAATTAATTAAACCAAATTTTGTGTGTTTTGTGTGGTAGTGCATAATTCTAGTTATTTAAATAAATAAAAGAATTAGTGATGCTAGAATAATGGGAATTATTATTAAAATAAATAAAAGTGGTCATTTTGTTTAATTTATTAAAATCAATAGAGAATGAGACTTTTGGTGGAAATTGAGAAAAATTGAAATAATAGAAAATTAGAGAGAATATTAGTAGTGTTTTTATTAAAATTAAATTAAAGATGAGAAGGACATTTTGGTGATTAGAGGAATAAGTGAGGGTAGTATTAGAAGTTACTAATTGAGTGAGATTATGTTACTAATAAAAAGGTTAGTAAGAGGGTTTTGAATGTTTTTACGTAAAACCGAATTTTGGGTGAAAAAAGGAAAAGACAAGAGCTGGGGAATAGGAAGAACTCCATTGTTAGAGCTTGAAGTTGCATCATGCTAGAAAAATCTAAGATAAAGGGGATTTCTCCTAATATGGTATATATTGCATGTTGGGTAGAGGGAATTCCTTAATCCATTTAGGTTTTTCTTTACCTTTTTCTCTTTTGATGAATGTTGGATGAATATGTGAAAGCAATTATGCAATTGTATGATTGTGTGTCGTATTATGTGATTTTTCGTGCACTATTTTACCATGAGATTTATGTGTTCATGATTCATGATGTTTGTATGTAGGAGTGTTCATATGCGAGTGATAAACTTGATGAATAAAGTATGTAAATCCATGATTAAATGAGTGAAATTGCATGTAGATTGGTGGACGATTGTTGTACTGATGTTAGATATTATATTCCTTAATGTTGATGTGCGATTTGGGGTCAGGGGATGTAAAATCAAAGTTCTATTTTGAATTCCATTGCAGAAAACATAGTTTCTATTTTGGTTCAGGGTGACGGGTGTCACCCTAATGATGCATTGGTCATCATCGCTATGGAGGCGCTGATGTGCATTAACTTCCTAACGGATAGACCGTCATGGTCCTCAGGCAGGGTTGGTTGTGACGGTCGTCACATGTGTCACGTGAGAGATGACGTGGAAGGTGACAGGGGTCACCTTAGTGACGGGTAACCCATCACGTGGCCAAAAAAAACGCCATTTGCTAAGTGGCATAGATTTGACTATTTGTTCCAATTTTTTTAGTGTTATGTTGTGTGTAGGCTACTGTTTGGTCGCTATTTAGGAACGCATTATGTTGTTTATGATGTTATTATTGAATTGATTCGCTTGTGTTGTACGAAGCATGTTGTGTGCACATTGGTGATAAATTAATGGTGATTAATTTTTGTTGAGCTTGCATGTTATGGTGAATCATGCATCATGGTGTATGGGTTTCGGTCCAGTTTTTTGTGTGCTCTGGTCCGGTGGTATAGATTCAAGGGCGAGTAGCTAATTTCAATGAGGAATTAGTGAAGCGTTGCTTATGGTGATAGCAACGAATTTTGGTGTTCTCTGGTCCGATGGTGAGAATTCAAGAGAGAGTAGCTGGCTCCATATGGGAATTGATGAAGCGTTACTTATGGTGATGGTAACGATTTAGTGAGCTCTGGTTCTTTGGTCGGGATTCAGGAGCAAGATGGACATGTGGTATCCATAATGGTATTGTATGTATTTTTTAGTCTTGGTGTTGAGTACATTTGCATTCATTATTTGCATATGTATGAAATGAGCATGTTGATATTGGTGATTGCGAGTACTTTGGTAGTGTATGAGGATGAATTATGTTGAATACTTGTTGATATTTGTTTAGACTATCATTTCATACTTTTGCACCATTATATATTATGAGCGTATTCTCACCCCTTTATTGTTTGCGTGGTTTTGTGCTCCTTCTTGGGGTACAGACGAGCAGGAAACTGAGTAGCTGCTTAGAGGCTTAAGGATGGCGTAGAGGTTATTCTTCTTTTTCCTGTTTTATGCGATTATTTAGTATTTTATTGCTCTGATCTGTAACATTGTGCTGGCAAACATTTGTTTTTGATATTTGACATTGGTTTTTGATGTTATTCATATTGAAGCAATTTGGCGTAGCTATGTTGAAGTTATTAAACATATTTGGTTGTTGAATTGTTTTAAATTGATTATTCCCATGCGATGAGCCTATGTAAGGCGAACATGTGATGACAGGTGTTTATCATAATGTGTGTTTGAATAACTTGTGTTACGGAACATATTTTTGTTATGTTTGAGGGGTACCCTATGTGCGTATTTGTTTTATTTTCTCATTTCAGTGTTTAAGGTGTTATATAGTGGTATCAGAGCGGGTTGGTCCATCTGGACAGGTTTTTTAATGTTGAATATTCCCTAGTATGCAAATTAAAGAAAGGTTATATTGAATGTGTTTATCTTTCACATAAGACATGAACTCGTTGCGAGGATGAAAAGCGGCATTAGAAAAAAATTCCAAACCAATAGACTTGTTGGTGTCTTGAATCAAGTTGTTAAATCTCACTCATTCCCTATCTTAGAACATCGCCACTAATTCTTCATACCCCACACCAAATATTGACAAGAAAATGCTCTTTCTCACACCACTTTGTAGTTGGCTACCTTGAGATATTTGTCGGTATTAGCTTGTGAGAGAAATTAGTAGTTTGGATAAACAAAGGCGTCTTGAATAGGTGGTGCAATTGGTGTTGTTGCACGAGACATACGACTTACTTTTGGTTCCATTCCTCTAAAACATAAAGGAAAAAATTTATAATGCAAAATGGCTTTTTATAGGAACTTTTTCAGACCCCATCTCGACCACTATGCTTGTATCACAACCACGATGCATAATGTCTCTTTCCAATGATCAAAACCTCCAACATCTCTTTGTCTCTCTGTTAGGTCACTTATTGGTATTCAATGATGTGTAGTAGCGTTAGATGAATCCATGAGTCCCCCCAAACACTTCATTCAAGAAAGGATTATCTTTTCTAATGGACTTTAGATCAAATATCTCATGCGTGAAATGTTCAAAGGAACTCTAAGATTCAATCAAAAAATAATTAATTTGCTCATGCCAATGCCTTTTTAATGCTCTCTATATATAGTAGTATAGAAAGGTTATGTTGAAAAGACAAATAAATGTGAAAATATGTGTGGGCATTCATGAAGTTAATTTTCTATCATTGCACAATGAACATGGTCAGGATGTTTCACAAGAGGAAATGTGGATAAGATATTTATGGAAAATTATATTCACGACACTTTAAGAATTCCTTCAAAAGATCCCTCCTCAATTTCTCATGGTCCTGTCTATTAATGCTAATGCACTTTGATGTTGAAGGAGTGAGAAAGAGTGAGAGAGTAAAGAAGAAGTAGTTGTATTATTAGGATTGATATTGAAATTAAATTATAATATGTATCTATATACAACTAGGTGACTTGAATACTAAGTAACTAAGATAACAAACCCTAACCTTAATCAACTTGGGCTTGGGCTTGGATTATACTCTCAAC